CACGGGGTTTGCTGTGGCCCATGCCTGGCCTGCAGCGTGCCCCCCGCCCCCACGGGGTTTGCCCTGGCTGTGGCTGGCCTGCAGCCCCGCCCCCACGGGGTTTGCTGTGGCCCATGCCTGGCCTGCAGCGTGCCCCCCCCCCGCCCCACCCACGGGGCTTGCCCTGGCCCGTGGCTCACATGCCGTCTGCTCCCGCTCACCGTGTCCCTTGCCTTGCAGCCGGGCGTTTCAGGAATATTACCAGGAGCACCTGGAGTACGCCTGCCCCACAGAGGACATTTACCTGGAGTAAGGGAGCAAGGCACTGCGTCTCCTGCTTCCGCCCCCCATCCAGCCCCACAGATGGCCAGAGACTCTGTCTGACCCCACAACCAGCCGGCTTGGACCCTCCTGCTGCACATGCTCCGGCCCCCCCACCCGACAGACTTGCTGCACATCCTCCCTGCTTCTCTCTGGGGCCCGAGAGCCGGCTGCACCCTCCCGGAGCCGGGCTGGCGCGCAGGCGTGGCCCAGGCGGGGCGGGCTGGAGGTGTTGGCCTGGGGCACCCAGCCCTGGCCTGGCCCCTTCCCCGGTGGTGCTGGGAGCGGGGCCCGTGGGCCGGAGGAGAGACGCCTGCAGGGGCCCCTGCCTCAGTGACCGAAACTAACGCAGGGAGCACAAGGGCTGGGCCAGGGCGGCTGCAGCCTGCAGCAAGCTCCCCGGGGGAGGGAGAGAGCACAGTGAGAGGGGGAGGGGCCAACAGGGGATGAGGGAGGGAGCGGGGAGGGGGGCCATCGGGGGAAAGGGGAGGGTACAGGGAGTGGGGAAGGGCCAGCGGGGGAAGGGAGAGGGGCCAGCGGGGGAAGAGGGAGGGTGCAGGGAGTGAGGGAAGGACTGGCGGGGGAGGGAGAGCACACAGCGAGGGAGGGAGAGGCTATCGGGGAAGGGGGAGGGCACAGGAAGTGGGGGAGGGGCCGGCACAGAGGGAAGCACGGTATGGGCACCTGCCAGACTTACATCAGGCATCACCCCCCACAGCGCTGCCCCCCTGGGCCGGCTCATCCCCCCCACGGCCCCGGCTGGCTCATTCCCCACGACCGCCCCCCCCACGGCCCCGGCCGGCTCATCCCCCCACCTCCAATGGCTCCAACGCCTGGGCTGAGTCACCCCCCCCCACATGCACCTGGCAGCCCGTGTCCCCCTCCCCACAATGTGCGGCGCTGACCCCTGGGCCACTTGGCCTCTGCTTTGCTCAGCGCCGTGCCCTGACTGGCCCCTCCCTGGCCAATGTCCCTTCAGGGCACCCATCGTAGCCGCATGGGGCTGGCGCAAAGGCAGGCCTGGCCAGGGGGTGGGGCCGGTCTGAGGGGACTGGGGTGCAGGAGGGGCTTTGCACCTGTGCGGGGGTCCCCGGGGAGCAGGGGGGCTGGTTCGTGGCCCCTCATCCTGCACCACCACCGGAGCTGCGCAGGCGGTTACAACAGACACCCCAATAGCCCAAGTCACTAGCCCGCGGCTACGAAGCCAGCGCTTTGTCCGGCGCCTCGGGGCGGGGCAATGGGGCCTGTGAGCTGAGCTCCTGCAGCTGCCTTCGGGTGCCCAGCCCCTCGGCCCTGCTCCCCCCTCACTGCTGTGCCTGGTCATTCCTGCCGCTTGCCAGCCGCGTGTATCTCCGCTCCGTGCTAGCGTAGTGCCCTCGCCCCACCGCTCTGCGTCCGACTAGTTATCGCGAACTCCAGCCACCACGGGAACCTCCCACGACAGTGACTTGTACAAAACCCGGGCAAGAGGCTCCCCCACTGCCCGCCTGGCACTGGTCTTTCAATAAATATCTGCTTGGTGTGACCCCGCGGGCTGGGCCGTCTGTCAGCAGCCCCCCAGCAGGGCACCCCGCTAAGCCATTCGGGGGGGGGGGGAGCCAGGGTTCCTGTCTCCTCCCTTCTGGAGGTGGGTCACTGTATATGCAAACCAGGCTCCTCCCTCTAGTTCATGCCAGTTCCTCCGTCAATGTGTCAGCGTCAGGAAACCCACCTGCCCACCCCGGAAATGCAGCCACCTCTGGGGTGGGAGGTAGCTGCTGTTTAACACCCATACAAAGAGCACTGGCTGGTCACAGTCAGGGCCCAAGTCCCTGGCAGGGCCCCCAGGCTCCGTGCTCTGGTGCTAAGATTCGGTACCACGATGCCCTGGGGCTTTGGTTTCTTGTCACTTCGGGGCCCCAGCTACGCCAGGCATCAGTCCGCGTGCAGGGCCATGGGGCAACACAGCTGCGGCGATGCCAGCACAGAGAGAGCCGAGCCCCACCCTCCAGCCGGGCGAGGGCCTCATCTGCACCAGCAGCCCCCCGCCACGCAGCTTCCCTGGCTGGCACTGGGGGGCGCCCAAGCTTGGGGGGCAGAGGGGCAGGATTGCTGGGCGCATGACTAGCAGCCTGTCACGGGGTCCCCGGGCGATGCTCTGGAACTGCTCCCTATGAAGCCAGGCAGGACTCTGGGGAAGTCTCCTCGCTCTGAGCAGACTGTCTTCAGGGCAAGCAGCTCACACGGCTTCACCTTCCTGGGTCTGACCTTGGAGCATTCAGCATCCCCTGCCCCTCCGTGCGCTTCCCACAGCGAGTCCGCCCCGGCGGGGTCCTGGGGAAGCCAGAGGGTTTTGCACCCCCACTTCGCAGTCAGACGTGACTCTCAGCCAGCCAATACAACAGAGGTTTATTAGATGACAGGAACATGGTCTAAAACAGAGCTTGTAGGTACAGAGAACAGGACCCCTCGTCCGGGTCCATTTTGGGGTCCCACGAGCCAGACACCCACATCTGCACTTCTCTCCTCGTCCACAGCCAGCCCCAAACTGAAACTCTCCAGCCCCTCCTCCTCTGGGCTTTGTCCCTTTCCCAGGCCAGGAGGTCACCTGATCTCTTTGTTCTCCAACACCTTTAGCTATCACCTTGCAGGGGGGAAGGGCCCCAGCCATCAGTTGCCAGGAGATAGAGTGTCAGCTATTCTCTGTCCAGCCAGCATCACACCTGCCCTCTAGGGCTCTGCAACCATCACACCCCCTTCTCCCACCACCTAGAGACTTAAGAACTGCATAGGGGAAACTGAGGCACCCACACAGTATTCAGAGAAAACATGAACATTCCCACTTCGTCACACAGACACTGGTTGAAAGGCTAGAGGCCATTTTACACTAGCTGGTGCAGAAGCAGCCTGACAGGCCAAAGCCATGTCGGGGGCGGACACAAGCTGCAGCCCCCTCATAGTGCACAGTGCAAGGCATGCCTGGCAGCTGGCCAGGAACTTAGCTGTGTCACCAGCATCGCACCAATCCCTGGGGCCGAGCTGCAGGAGAGCCCAGCAGGTGCGGCCTGGGGGGGGCAGCTAGCGGGTGGGTAACCGGCCGATTGGCGAGAGGCCACCTGGTCAGACCCCCCCCCCGTCTCTCCCTGTATCCCCCCCCTCACAGGCAGCCCCACCACACACGTCTTGTTACAGGCGTCCCTGACTTGGCTCCTTGGACAGTTCCCCTCTGCAGGGTCGGCATCTTTGGCATGTTCAGCCTGGGCAGGGCCTGCACCACGCGCCCCTCACCACTGGTGCAGCCTCCTCCCTGGTCTCTGACAGTGGGGGCCCCTCAGCAGAGGGCACAGAGTCCAAGCCTCATGCCACACAGGCCTGCTGCCCCATGGCCTTCCTGACTTGCATCGCCCATTCCCACACCTGCCTCCCTAGACCAGTCCCCAGCTGCCACTGAGCAAAGCCCAACACGGCACGGCAAATGGGGCTTGACAGTGGGACGAAGTGGGGGATTGTCTTAGTGCTTGGCATGAACACTGTGTGGGGCTCAGTTTCCCTGTGTGCTGTGTGTGTAACGAGGGGGTGGGAGAGGGAGTTTATTGTTGCAGGGGACCAGGTGTGACCTCACCTAGCAGTTGGGATCCCAGACAACTGCCTGGAGATGGGAACCCTAGTGACCGGGGACCTGGTGACCGAGAGGCCCAGCCCAGCTTGGCAGGCAGCCAATTCTGGCCAGTGGGAAGACAAAGGGCTGAGGAGAGAGGACCCTGGTGACCTGACCAGCCAGTTCCAGCCAGTGGGGAACAAAGGATGGAAGAGAGGAGGCCCAGGTGACCTGTTTGCCTGGGACCGAAGACAAAGGACAGGGGAGGAGCTGTTGGGGGAGATGATATTGGATGATTGGCTGGAAGGAGGGAATGGCTGGACTGGGGCAAGAGAGCAGCCGGAGCCCTCCTGGATGCAGGAGAGACCTGGATGTCCTGGGCTGAGGGGTGCTAGGCTTGAGGGCCTGGAGAGTTTCCAGTGCTGGGTTCAGATGCTCAATAAACTCTCCTGCTTTATGCTCGCTGAGAGTCACTCCGGTCTTAGAGATCAGGGCTGCATTATTCCCTCTGGGGGTGGAGGCCCTGGGGGTTCAGAGCACGTGGACTCTGACTCCATCCGAGCGTCTCTGGATTTACACAGAGCGCGGGACTGCGAGCAAGCTCTGGCCCATCGGTACAACTCCCTCCTGCAGACATGGCTGTGCAGGGCTCCAAGGTGCCAGTGGGGCTGGAGGCCAGAAGCAGGTGGGAATACAAAATGGGCTAGCCGTGCTGGTAGTTGCATGGCCATGCATGTGGCCACCTTGACACGTGTGTAGTTTGCGTGTGGCCAGCTCACCAAGCTCTGTGGATGGGGCCTGGCCTCGTCCCACCCACCAAACCCCAATATGTGGAAGGGCCAAGGCCCAACCCCTGTGGGACCCCGCAGGAAAGAGCCCCAGTGGCGGATGAGACCCCGTGTACAATTACACTGAGACCCATCACAGCCTCACAGGCCCCGTGCTCGCTCGGCTCCATACAGTCCCCTTCAGTGTGACAGCCCTTCTCACAGGGGGGGGGGTGTTCTCTCTCAGGTTTACGCTGTAGGCCCTTCCATCGCCTGGAATCGCACCTCTCTGAGCCTTCAGCATGCCCGCCTGCTGTCTCTCACCGTGGGCGGGGTTGCCTGGCTCCAAATTTACACTGGGTGGGGGCTTATGGCCCTGTTTAGTCTCAGAAATGCCTTGGTCAGCCATTTTATGGTCGCCGTGCCACCAGCCGTGGGTACATTTTCTCCGGTTGCTCTGAACATGTCTCTTTGCCCTGGAACCTTCCAGCCAGGGCAGCCAGTCTGGCTTGCTTGCTGTACCCTGGCTCTGCCAGCTCACTTGGCACCGTGCAAGGCTAGGCCCAGCTGCATGGGAATCTAGTCAGGCACTCTCTGGGCGCTCCCAGGCCCTGGTGCTTTCAGCGTTGCCCTCCAGCGCACGGCAGCGACTCTGCAGCGTGAGCACGCCTGCTTCCATTGCCACTAAGCCCCATCCCAGTGTGTGTGTGGCCAAGCCCTGGCTGAACCACGCGTGTCACCCCCCCACAGCCATCTGGGACCTGTCAGCCCCAAGATGAGGGCCTGTGAATGTCTGAATCCCAAGCTGGCCTAGTGTAGGAGCCATGGGGACAGGCCTCCACCACTGCCTCCCAGCTCTTGCCTGAGCTCCCAGGCCTGCACTGGGCTTGAAGCCATAGGCACAAAACTGGCTAGTGCGAGGCTGCTGCTGTGGCCCCCACGTCAGGGCAGGAGGGGCATGTGGCAGGCACATTTCCCTGGTGGAGGCTGGGCCTCGCACAGCAGCCATTGGCCCACACAGCTAGTGAGAGCTGGGTGAGGAGCCTGTGGTCCTCGGCTCCACCAGGCTCTGGCCCTCAGTAAGGCCTGAGGAGGGC